GAGGTGGGTAAAATGAGGACCCGGATTGTTGGGGGTAATATGCTGACTCTGTAAACCGCTTAGAGAGGGTTGAAAGCCGAACTGCAGAACTGCAGTCAGCTGAAGTAGCCTGCAGTGCTGCATTTAACCACTGTGCCACCTTGGCTCCTTGTTTGTTCTCTTGGCTGGGAAAAAAACCCTATTTTAACTTCTCTGCCATAAGTCGTGAGTTAATACCGCCATAACTTCATTGGATCAGGTCGCTTTTAATCCACTTCCTGAGAAACAGTTACATACAGTAATAAATTCTCGTCCAACAGACAACCTTGTTAGCTTTACGTGGAATTTATGGAATTTTGACTTAACTTTTTCCCCAAGTCCTGTTTTCCCACAAGAATCGCCATGTTTTTGTTATTGAAGAATTTTTAAAAACAAGTCATCATGTGGCTTTTATGTTTGGTTTACGCTGGGAAAGAGGTGCTCTGGTTACGGACAACATGTTTTGGTTTCCGTGCTGTGTGTACAAAAGAGCAAACCTCGCCCAAAATTGACCAGTCAATTTTCAAACAACCATTTAAAGATTCCAGGTAGGCCTAAGAAACTTTCTGACACAAGACCTCCCTTTCTGTCCAACCTACTCTGGGGAGTCCCCCTCAAGCATCTGGATCAGATCTGGGGGTGCATGGAAAGGAAGAAAAGTCTTGCATTCAAGTCTCCCAGTCCTGCACAGCACTTGAAACAATTTGCAATAGTGGTGAATATCTAGCTCAGGGTTAGGTTTGCCATCTCTGGTCTGAAACAATCTACCCCACCCTTTACTGGCTGGGGATTATATCTGCCTACAATTCATCAACTTGGAGAAAACCATCATAGACACACAACAGGTTACAGTGTAACTTGCAACAACTGGCCAGTTTTGGCTCAGCAGAAAAAAAGTGGGCTGTTGTGATATTCTAAAGCAAAGTTTAGCACCCTCTTGAGGTACTCTTTATAGGGGCAGTGTGGTGGCCTAGTGGAGAAGACACTCACCTCCCACTCGGACGGTTGATAGTTCAATCCTAGAGAGCAGCAGATATTTCTCTCCTGGGGCGTAGTGAAAAAAATAACTGCTGTGAACCCCATGTAGGCATTAGGAAGGGCATCCAGCCAGTAAACGCTCAGCTCTGTCCAATCGACCCGACTTTGAAGGGATTACAGGGTCACAAAAAGGGAGTTTTTATAGGTAGCCTTNCCCTGCTCCTTAGGGCCCCAATAGGAAGCAGTTGTTGGAGCTAAGCAGCCACCATGAGAAAGAGTTGGCCAAACAGGTCAGTTCAAATTGGGTCTGACCGAGAAGGAGGCTCAGCAGAAGCACCTGAGGACTACGAGCAGAGGCTTTCCAAGCAGACCTGCGGGAGTGCAAGGCCAGATACCAGCGCCTGTAGGCTCACTGGGCTGAGATGGGATAATTCAAAAAAATCAATAATTTAGACAATAGATGGGATAATTCAGGATTTGTTTACATGTATGGATCTCTCCAAGTTCACAACTAGACAGAGCTTAAGAAAACGTGTGCTGCAGTTTCTTTGATTTTTTTTTGTGGTGGCAGGTTTTTTAAAAATTATTATTATTAAGTTGTCATTTTAAGAATTTAGGTGACTTACTCTGACGCCAAGTTTGGATATTTCCTAAAATATCCAATAAAAAGGTCTTTGCATGAATCAGTTCGCTGAAATTACAGGTACGGGATTACTGCATCATGTCTAGACATTCGTTGAAATACTATATTTTGTTTTTTTTCCTGTTTTATGGCACTCTAGATGAAAGGATGCATCAAAGTTCTCAAAGACCAGCCTCCAAACAGCGTAGAAGGCCTTCTAAATGCTCTCAGGTACCTCACAAGCCCTCTCGTGTTAAGCACAATTGTTGCATTTTGGATGTCTGTGTGTGTGGGTTTTTCTTTAATCCATCTTGACGTAGAGAGAATGCCCTTCAGTTTGAATCCCAGAGGTTTGCATAGCTGTGGCTCTCTTGCTTCCGAGAAACAGATTTGTAAGAATTACTATATTTTTCAGATTATAAGACGTACCTGACTATAAGACGCACCTAAATTTAGAAGAGGAAAACAACGAAAAAAGGTTTTTGGCCTCTGCACACCTCATTTTCGGCCCTTTGGGGGGGGGTTCTACCTATTTTTGAAGCTTTTTTGGCCCATTTGGGGGGCTTTTTTGGCCCATTTTGAGCCTTTTTCTGGCCCATTTTTGAGGCTTTTTTGGCCCATTTGAAGGCTTTTCTTGGCCCATTTTCGAGAAAGAAAATGGGACAAAAAAGCCTAAAAACAGGCTTAAAAAGGCCTGAAAAAGGATCCTGTGGGTGAGCAGGGCTTCAGCAATATTCGGTCTATAAAATGCACAGACATTTTCAATCCCTTTTGGGAGACAAAAAAGTGTGTCTTATAGTCTGAAAAACACGGTAGCAAGTCCTCCATCCTCTTTCATTTGCTGGTTAAACAGTAGTACAAACACATTGCCTGAAGCTGGGGGGGTTTAACTACCCTGACATCAGCTGGGAGACAAACTCTGTACCAAATGGAAGATCCAACAGGTTCCTGGCAAACCTAGCAGACAACTTTGTGGTCTATGACCAGTTGCTAGGTGACCATTCAGTGTTACAATGGACCTGAAAAACTTCTTTTTTTTATTATTTATGATGGGGTTCTCTCTCCCACCCCACCAAACCATCATTTATTTCTGGTTTCCGGCAAAAAAAACACCCCTTAATGGATTCACTTAACAAATCGAGTTCATTGAATGGCTGTGACGTTCACTTAACCATTGCTGCAAAAAAGGTTATAAAATCACAAGCTTGGTTTATGGCCATTGTGACATAACCAAAATTGCAGGCTTAATTATATGGTTGTAAATCAAGGACTACCCATATGCCCCCTTTTTCCCCCTGTGGAAAAAAATGCATCATGGCTCCAATACCTGGTATTGCCCCTTGGACAGATGTAACCTCAAGTAGACATTTCTTGTAACCGTCCACTGATCTATGACATCAACTAAAAGAAATTTTCCTCCACTTCTCCAGGAAACCTGCCCCCTCCCTTTTTTCCCAGCTGTGCGGAAAAAAAATGAGGGGATTATTGCATTATAGCCCATTTTAAACCACCCCTCAGTGAGCTTTCATCTGGGGTTTGACCTGGCCATTCCAGAACCTTCCTTCCTTCTTTCCTTCCCTTTCTTTTTTCCCTCTCCCTCTCTCCCTCCCTTTCTCTCCTTCCCTAGGTTGGTTTAGTAGAAGATTTAGGGTTCCTGTCATATTCTCATAGAGAGAATATGAGAGAGAGAGAGGGAGAGAGAAGGAGGGAGGGAGAGAGATGGATGGATGGATACACAGACAATTGCACTATTTAGCATCATGGTGATGACAGTGTTAGAATGCAGTATTGCAAGGCCAACTTTTGGTTGAGCTTCAGTTTTCTGAATGCAGAATGCAGTATTGCAAGGCCAACTTTTGGTTGAGCTTCAGTTTTCTGACAGGTGGTCTCACTTTATCCTCAAGCATCCTCTGGTACAATGAAGAATTCATAGTCAGTTCTTTGATGGGAAGCTGGCCCTGATGCCACGAAGCAGCCCCAAACCATAACCTTTCCACCACCATGCTGTTCCATTGTATCAAGTTCTCCAGGAGGACTGATGTGTTTGGTTTCTGTCAAACATGTCTTCGGCCATTGTGGGTCAAAAAACTCTCATCCAGAGACCATGTTATTGCAGAACTCCCACCTTTTAATCAACTTTTTAATGTGGAATTTTAGTTGCCTCTTTAAAAAAAATATGTACAGTTTTTATGTTTTAAAATGTCATTTGTATACTGTCCAGAGTCCCTTGGTTTGAAAGATGGGAGAGACACAGAGAGAATATGAGAAGGAGGGAGGGAGAGAGATGGATGGATGGATACACAGACAATTGCACTATTTAGCATCATGGTGATGACATAGAATGCAGTATTGCAGGCTAACTCTGCCCACTGCCAGCAGTTCAATCCTGACTGACTCAAGGCTGACTTAGCTTTCCATCTTTCCATGCTCAGTAAAATGAGGACCCATATTGCTGGGGGAAATAGGCTGATATTTATAAACCGTTCAGAGAGAGATGTAAAACACTACAAAGCATATAGAAATCTAAGTGCTGTTCCTATGGCTATCTCAATACTACAAACCGTTAACTTGATCTGAGTTTTTTAAAACAAAAAAACGGCGAAATATCAACTTATAACGTGTTTTTCTTTCCTCGATAGGTACACAACGAAACATTTGAACGATGAGACTACCTCCAAGCAAATTAAATCTATGTTGCAATAACAGTTACCTGCCAGGTGTGTTCCTGCTGTAAACAGTATTCTGCAATGACTGAGATGCACAGATTTTTTTTTTAAAAAAAAAGTGATTGCAACTACTTATCTTGTTCAGTCTTGCTTTTGACTTTCTTTCCCCGTGTCCTCTCTTCCATTAAAAAAAAAAATCACGTTCTTGTCCTTGAGTGAGCTGATAACTTCTTTTTCTGTGCCAAAATCAATGAAATGTATCATCTCTGGAAGGTAAATTTTTAAATTTTGGGGGGGG